CTTCCTAATGCCGCGGCCCTTTCATACAGTTCCTCATGTTGTGGTGACCCCCAACCATAAAGTTATTTTCGTGGCTACCTCATCACTGTAATTTTGCTACTGCTATGAATCGTCATGTAAATATCTGATATGCCGGATGTATTTCCATTGTTACAAGTTGAACATAAAGCATAGTGATTCATCACAAAAACAATATGTAATTATATATGTGTTTTCCGATGATCTTAGGCGACCCCTGTGAAAGGGTCGTTCGACCCCCAAAGGGGTCGCGACCCACAGGTTGAGAACCGCTGCGTTGGAGTGCTGCTTAGCCGCCACCCTTACAGGTGCTGCCTGCACTCTTCCAGCAGCGGGACCTGGGCATTGTTTTTTGCTGTTTGTTTCACACTCATCCCAGGTGATGCTAGTGCGCAGCCAGGGTTGACAACCACCTGCCTGTGGCTCGGCTTGTAGGAGGCTTTGTCCTCAGCGTGTCCTGAGGGCCCACAGCACTGGGGGCTCCTTTCCTGTGGCCGCGGTAACAAATCACTGCAGATTGGGCGTCGCAGTGTCTTCGGGTCACTATAAAAAACACTGCAGCCTGGGTAACCGGTGAGCCACAGTTCCTCACACTTCTGCAGGCTGGGAGGCCCAAGATGGAGGCCCTGGCAGTGTTGGCATCTAGTGAGAGCCAGCTTTGTGGTTCATGGACAGGGCCTTCTAGCTGTACGTTCACATGGCAGAGGGCTGAGGGACTTTCTTGGGATTCTTTTAGAGGGACGCGAATCCCATTCGTGAAGCCTGAGCCCTCTGACCTAGTAACTTCCCAGTGGCCCCACCTCCTAATGCCATCCCCTTGGAGGTTAGGATTTAGCACAGGAATGTTGGAGGAACACAAACATTCACCAGTGTCTGAAGACAACACACATTTGTTCTTTTTGTTCTGGAGGTCATAAGTCTGAAATCAGTTTCACTGGGTGGAAAGGAAGGTATTGGTAGGGACTGGGAGATATTCAGTTCCCTTGCCTTTTCCAGCTTCTGGAGCTGCATTCTGTGTTTTTTGGCTCCTGCCTCCATCCTCCACCCAGCAGCATTGTGCTTGAGTGGTCACATCGCCTTGTGCTGTCGTCACATCTCCCCCTGCCTTCCTCTTAGAAGGAAATTATGATTACATTTAGGGCCCCACCTGGATAAGCCAGGGTAACCGCCCCATCCCAGGTCTCATCTGAGAAAACCCTTTGCCGTGCAGGTGACATCACAGGTCCCAGGAATAGTGTGGCCTCAACCCGGTATCTGTGAGGCCACGATTCAAACTGCCACAAACAGCAGACCTGTTGAATCAGAATCTGCATTTTATCAAGATCACCTTGTGATTCACCTACACACTAAACTGTGAGTGAGAAGCAGGGTTCTGTGGGACCTTATCCAGAGAGCCTCTCGTAATGGAGTCCCATGTCAATGGCAACTTGAAGGAGTGTTTGCCTAGGAGCCTTTTCATTGGCGGTAGGTGGTCAGAGACCAATCCTTTTCTCACACACCATAAACAAGTGCTCATCTAAATGGCAGTGGTCTCCGAAGGAAGCAACAAGCCCCAAGTCCCAGGAGAGCGGAGCTGTTGCTTGTTTCCGGTATTTGGCACAAGGCTTGCCACTGCAGCATACAATAATTCAATTTTTTAAAAAGCTACAGAAAAGTAACATAACCACAAGCGGCTCCTCTGCGAATGTGGGTGTGACTACCCCGCTGCAGGTTTTCTTGGGCAAGTCGGGAATCGGGGTGGGTAACTTTCTCAGTGTGATCTGTGCTGTGGTAATTCGTTCCCTTTCAGCCGGTATGTAAACGAGGGGGAAGGGAAAATGGTCTACTGACCCCAAACCCCAATGTGGTACTTCCCCCATATTAAGCAATAAAGGACAGACTATAGACATTAAAAACTGTTAATTTCACAGAAGGAAACCAGAAAAGAGGTAGTTAATACTAGACCCAAAAGGAAATAATAAAGGGCTTCTGGTAATTAGTGACTCAAACATCTGAATAAAGAGTGAGCAGGGCACCCAGCTGGTGTGGCTCAGTGGTTGAGTGTGGACCCATTCACCAGGAGATCACGGTTCCATTCTCGGTCAGGGCACATGCCTGGGTTGCGGTTTGATTCCCAGTGGATATATATGTATGTTGAGGAGGCAGCTTATCAATGTTTCTCCCTCTGAAATCAATAAAAACATTTAAAAAACAAAAGAATCTGAAGGGCCAAGGAAGAGAGTGTCCAATACTCCAACTGTCCACATGGGGGCAGCAGTGCTACGATTTTAAAAAATAGCTGTGTGTGTGTGTGTGTGTGTGTGTAACTTTTCATGGACAAGACTAGAAATGAAAGTAATGTAGGTTAGGGGATAAAAAATGAGTACCCTCAATTTTGCATGATTTCAGTACACTAGGTTAAATCCTGTTCAAATATGCAAATTCTTAAAATATGTAAAAAAGTTCATTCTGAGTACCATATTAGCTGTCAGGAATCAGGCATTACTAAATTTTAGAATACCAGTTCCTTAAACCTAACATCTCCTTTAACAATGAAAATTCAAATTCCTCCTCTCCCACTTTTTAGCATTTTCGTAGAAGACTTTTATTGTCACCCACCTTGAATGTTCTCCTGTATATTTTATACCAATATACAAGTATAAAAAAATAACCTCAAGATAAAGCCAAATAAAATTTAAGCCCTAGCCGGTTTGGCTCAGTGAGTAGAGCGTCGGCCTTCGGACTGAAGGGTCCCAGGTTCGATTCTGGTGAAGGGCACATGCCTGGGTTGCAGTCTTGATCCCCAGTGTGGGGCATGCAGGAGGCAGCCAATCAATGATTCTCTCATCATTGATGTTTCTATCTCTCTCTCCCTCTCCCTTCCTCTCTGAAATCAATAAAAATATATATTTAAAATTTTTTTTAACAAAATGCTTTGTTTATAGTCAAGTTAATTTTCCTCCAGTGTTGGTATTAGAAAGATTGCTTCTTGTATTTTTTTAAAATATTTTATTGATTTTTTACAGAGAGAAAGGGAGAAGGATAGAGAGTTAGAAACATTGATGAGCGAGAAACATTGATCAGCTGCCTCCTGCACACCTCCTACTGGGGATGTGCCCGCAACCCAGGTACATGCCCTCGACCGGAATCGAACCTGGGACCTTTCAGTCAATAGGCTGACACTCTATCCACTGAGCCAAACCAGCTAGGGCGCTTCTTGTATTTTTAAACCACAGATAACCTTGTTTGGTTAGCCCGGCAACAAGACCTTGATTCAAGTCTAAGGCATTTCTGGTTTCTTTCATAGGTTGATTTAATAAAACTCAAATTTCTCAAATATAAGCCTTTCCCTCCTGTCTTTATAAGTTTCCATGTAGAAATGGACTGTGGATTGAGAGTCACTAATGCAGAGGTTTTCAACCTTAGCTGCATATTAGAAGCACTTGGGGAGCTTTAAAAACATCCCTCTGCCCAGGGCACAGAGCAGATCCATTATGTTGGGAATGCTGGGCGGAAGCTCTGCCAGTGATAGCAGCCATGCTGAGTCCCAGGGAGCCTGATCTCAGAGCTCCAGCAACCTGATTTAATGCCAAGAGTAAGGGTTTTTTGGTTTGTTTTTACCTAAGTAAAAAAAAAAAAATCCTAATAATTACACAAATCAAATCTTTTAATTTCACTAGAGGCCCGGTGCACGAAACTCATGCACGGGGGATGGGGGGGGGTCCCTCAGCACAACCTGCACCCTCTCCAATCTGGGAGCCCTCAGGGGATGTCCTACTGACAGCCTACTCAGAGCAGACACCAGGGCCCACGCCCTCTGGTTCTCTGCGGACCCGCCTGCCTGTCTGCTCTCTGGCTCATAGCCGTGGCCAGGGGCAAGCAGGGCCCTGTTGCCTTCTCTCTGCGGGGGCCTGCTTGCCCCTCACTGCGGCGAGGGCTAAAAGGACTACTCCGGCGGGGCTGAGGGGACTGGGTGCCACCATCTTGTGGCTATGGGTGCCACCTACTTTGTGATGGAGGGATGGTCAATTTGCATATTCCATCTTTATTAGATAGGATTGTTGGACTTGGGATTGTAAGTACTTAGCCGTACCCACACATTAAACTGATGTGGAAGGATGTCTCCTAGCAGACAGTGTCTACAGATACTCAGATGTGGTTGCCTCAAGCTGGCTGATAGGACACCTGGGCAGAAATCAGACAAAGCTTCACCCAATGGGCATGAGGCGCTGGCCCTGGAAGATGCCCAGGATCAGTCAGGACCAAAGGCCTCTCAGGCACCAGTGAAGCAGGATGCAGCTCAGGGCACATGGCACAGCTTGACTAACAGCATGTTACTTAGAGAAATGCAGCAGAAAGAGGAGCCCTGGAGATGTTT